AATCATCCACCTGAGCTACAAATCTTCTCTATCATATATATATATATATATATATATATATATAATTTCATCGTTAGCTTACATTGTTCACAGAACCATCGGAAAACCTGGGAGTACTGGGCAGCTGTTTTGTCCTAGTTTGGGACTCTTAATCAGTACGTACCCACCGGGGTTCGAACCCAGGACCCTGTAACCGGAAGGTCCTAGACTACGAGGAAACAGCTGTCTGGCAGTACTCCCAGGTTTTTTCCAATGGTTCTCTAATTAATGTCAGCTCATGATGAAATCCTGTAACCAATCAAATCTCTACAGACCAACAATTGAAAATGTACATAGTTGAAATTTAATATTAATAACGAAACCTCTATAAACAGAATGTTGGTGGAAACATAATGAAGTATCAGTAGATAGTACCACAGACAATACATGTAGTAAGAATAATCTTTGCGTATACTTTGCAGTTCAGTTACTCATTTAAAAAAATTAATAAGTACTTTTCTGACATCCACTCTCTTCACACAAAATCCCGTACTAAATATGGTGGTACGGTAGGATTTTTATACTTAGTTGTAACAACCGAAATTCTTATGAAGTTCCCCAAGAAATACACGCAGAAAGTTGAGAATAAAGAAGATTTTCAGCACCAGACAAGATAACTTTAGCCAGCTGCTTGCAAGAATTGAAGTATCTACTGACAATAATGTCAGTTAGCTGAGTCAAAGGCAGCACCCCACGAAACCTACTTACCGCCTTCAGTGTTCTATGTAACATGACATAGCCTTTCTTGAGAAGTCTGTGCAAGAATAATGGTGAATAATAAAGGGGAATGGACAGAATATATGAATTTACAGATTGTAAGAGAAGAGGTTAAATTACGATGCCGGAAAGTCTCAACGTCTTTATGTAATAAGTTGAACGTTAAATATCCTTAGAAATAAACAGGAAATGAGAAGACCAACACATATTTGAAGAGAAAGTGATGGAGAGATGGGAGATATTCGATTTACTCTGCATCACAGTACTGTCCACTTTACAGGAATCATGCGAATGAATCAGTCCACGCAAGTCTTGTTCGCATATGAAACTAAGGTCAACAATAAGACATTTACATGGGTTCAGTTTAAGACCATTTAGATGAGACCATTTGTTAACTTCAGACAAGATTCTATTCATATGAGAACAGTGCAATGCAGAAACTACTGGGACAGAAATGCTTAGATCACTGGCATATTCAATGAAACTATTTTTCTATCCGAAAAATAGGAAGAGAGACACTTTGTGACCCAGGACTCAATGTTCCCTGAATTTAGCTTGCTTAGTTAAAGTGCCCTGGGGATAGAGACCGTCACGATTTTACTCTTGTGATTTATTGCATGGAAAGAACCATCGACCAAGAATCGAATCATTATTTGGCAGCCCTACACGGAGCTAATTGTGCGTCGGTGGCACAGTGATTAGGACTGTCGCCGACCATGCACATGGTCCGGGGTTCGATCTCCTGCCGACGCACACCTGATATCTATGGTCGGCCTGCAAAATGTGGACTACCGATATCACATGCTGAAAATTCCATACTTGTACCGAAAATACGGTGTGGCATCAAGCTGTAACCAAAATTTAAAAAAAACTTGAAAGCGGAAGTGTAATCTATAAAAGAGGCTCGAACAAACTTTGCACCTTTACCAAGAATTGAAACAATACTGCGGTGGAGTATGACGACAACAGCTAAGGTGCTTCTACTGCACTTGTAAGCAAATTGCTTTGCATTATTAACATATTTCAAAGAAGGTTCCTCCATAGTTTTCAAAAATAGAGATAGGATGGTGATCAGCCTAAGCTTTAAACCTGATCCAGAAGATGACTTTGGTACAGTCATCATCTTTACTTCTTTCTAGGCAACAGTTACTGTATCTCCGTAAAGTAAAGCATAACAGATTTGGGTAAGAGAATGACACAAAATATCAGCACACTTTTGAAAGCAAAATGCTTGGTACACCATCGGCTGCTAGGCTGTGTAATGAATCTAAGGATATGATACATGTTAGGATAGGGCTTCAAGTTACAGGCTTGAAGTTTCTGTAGCAATGGTGTTTAGTTTTACGGGATGGGGTCACTAGCGTCATGCCCAACCTTCCCTCTTTTCCAGTCCTATTACTAGCTTAGAGAGGTAAACGACTGTGCCGGCTGAGGATCGAACCCCAAACCGTGTGCATGGTTGCCGAGCGTCCTGTCAACACTGTGTGCATTCTTCGATTAGACGCTAGTAACTAGTGTGATGTATGTAATCCTTTAATTGGTGGATGGTGACTAGCAGTGGAATCCAGAACGCGCATTTCGCCCTATTAGGGGACTTGTCATCACTCATCGGAGATGACGAGATCCAAATAGAACGACATGCGCATCCTGGTTTCCACTGCTAGCCACCATGCACCAGTTAAATTCTAATTGCATTCTCAGACATTATAGAAGAATCTGTACAAGAAGCCGGCATATCAACCTGAGAGCGAGCACTGTGGTCCAATCAATCGACGGGAAAATCTGAAAATTCAGTTGAATATCTAGACCTTTGTTTGGTGCAGATTGAATTCGATGGGTCAGGCTTGCAATATTGCCACCATTCTAGGTAGCTTGCCATCACGGTGCGCTTTGAACTGCAAACCTGACTGACGTCTCTGACTGCAGCACTGGATGACTCGGGTTCGAATCTTGGAAGGAAGGACATGAGTTCCTTCAGGATGGTTGGAGACACGCCTTGCTGACCAGTGAATGCTGACTAGCAGGAAACCTAGGTTAAAAGCTTCCTTTGGCTGAATGCCTCCAACCGTCTGTGTGCATTCAGTTATTATTACTACTATATTATTATATTATATTATTACTATTATTATTATTAGTGAAAGAAAAGACACACTGAGAGAGATATAGAAGTAAGAAAATGGAATTTTAAAATGTGATAATGATATAAGCCATATTACAAGGTGAAAGATGACATCAGGATCCAGTCAAAGTACTGGTTCAGCAGAATATTTTCAATCTTATTAGAAACAAATGGATACATGAAAAACACATAATCCCATTGGTAAATTTAAACAAGGCATTAGGAAAAGACAGATATCATAAGATGATATCATTCCATAGTTTCTTGTAAATCGATAAAAATATCTTAGAATTGATATCACCTGGTGACATTTGTCTTCACAATTCCTTATTTCAGCAATGTACAGAATTACTATTGTTATTATTATTATAACTATCTTAGATTCGAAGTAGAATATAGTGCTCTAGCAGCACGTATCCACTTCGTAGGGTTCTTTGTAGTCTATTTCACGATTGTTCAAAGTCCTTCATCTCTTAATCACACACGATCGCCCACAAGTCACCCTCAAACCAGCGCCCAACTCATCGCATTCCATTCGGGCTCCAGATGAGCTATGACTTGGCGTGAGATGTCACCTGACGTTCTCCTCAACGTGTATCCCAATTCATCTCCATAACCTATTGCAGCTTTGTTGAGCAGTAGGTTCTTGATTGATTTGCCCCAAGATTATCTTGTTGCCAATTCCTTTTACCTGCTCATTTGATCCTCATTTTGAAGGTAGGTGTTGATGAAACCTATCAGTGGCCTGTTGTCAATACTTCTCATGATACTCAAACTGGTGTTGAAAATTTAAACTTCTTGTTTTTGCTACATAGAGTGCACAAGATTTCCAAACTTATTTCGGAGTGATGAATGTCTGTCTTGTCTTTCCCACCCTAGTTTTCACATCTTCATCCGTTGCGCGTGTTGTTGAAAAGATGCAGCCTAGCTAGATAGGTGGAGAAGGCGACCTATTCAAATTTTCCCTAGTGATAGTGATTGGTGCTGGCTGTTGTTGTTGCTTTTGGCAACATTTGAAGTTCATTTGTAGTTCTGTCTTCACTGCATGGCTTCTTCATCCGGTTTTTATATTTTCGCGTATAGGTGTTTGAGTGCACATAAATTATTCATGAAATCCAGATCTCAATAGAGAAAAAATCCCCATTTAGACATTTAGCTGCAGTCAAACTGGTAGATACACATAGAGGAGGCGAATTTAGGTAGTTTATCTTTATTTCTCGAACATAAAATAGGTGTGGTTGTAAAGAGACAACGTACCTCTGCTGCATAATAAGTTCTTTTAACTGCATTCCTCAGGCGCTGTGTTATTAATTCGCTGATGTTGTCACCGAGGAACTGCAATTTTATGAACATTGGTTTTTTCGGCACTGTGGCCATACTGACTCTCCTTGGAGCTGAATTTATATTTTTCTCAATGAATTTATCTGGATAGCCATTTTTTCTAAGTAATTCTCTAATAATCTTAAGCTCCTCATTGAGGCAGTCGTCTGAACAGATTAACCTAGCTCTATGAGCTAGACACTTCACGAGGTTACGTTTATATTTCAAAGGTACAAAACTCAAAAAATGAGTGTACTGACCTGTTGTTGTAGGCTTCCTATACACACTTCTTCTTAGTGTGCCATCTTTGTGAGTCCTCTAATCATTCCAGCGAGTTTCTGTCTCCTCTCAATCCCCACTTAAGATGTTCCTCACAATCTAGTCCACCACAATTTGGAATATCATCAGCGAGAGTAGTCGGTGTCATCTTACTCCTGTATTCACTTCAAATATCTCACAATTGGAATAATCTCTACCTTATTTCGTCTTCTGTTTGACAAGTCATGATAAAATCTCTATAAATAGTTGATCACTATAACAGTTGATTATTACTTATTATTATTATTTCTTTTAATTCCTAGAGGAACATAGGGCTTCAGCCGCACGTCTCCATTGCGTTTGGTTCTCTGCTAGAGTTTTCACCTGGCTATAAGTCTCCTCTTCACATGACCTCCTTCAAGTCACCCTTGGACAACCAACTCGCCGCTTCCCTTTCGCAATTCACCTTCGAATTTCTTTTTCATTTGTTTCTGGAAAAAAGATTCTAACTCTTTTTCACACTTTCACTTTCAATTTTGTTTTACAGGTTCATATTAGCCAGTTCTGTTCTACACGATAAAGATGTTCTTGGTGGGCGAATAAATCAATATGTCGATGTGACTGAATTCACTGCCCATCGACTAAGACTAGAATACACTCATGACAGTAACAATTTAAACTCTGGTGGTGGTGGCGGTGGCGGCGGCAGCGGCGGAAATATTGGCAGTTCATCATCTGTTCCAGATGTACTCAATTTTGAATCACCTGCACGTTTGCTAACCATTGGAGAAATATCAACTAGACAGTCGCATCACAATATGCATTCAGTTGACACAGTTAAACGCGCTAAACCTTTACGTGTATGGCTTGTTGGACAACATCCTGGTAGTGTTAAAATTCATTTAGCTCCAATAGACAGAAGTTTAGTCAATTCATTTATTCCACCTGGATTAGCTAAACAACTGAAAGATCATATCGCTAATGATGATGTGAAGAATATAAACCACTTTGAAGGGACTAGCAGTAATCAGTCAAAATATCATAGTTTAGAACCCAGTGTAACTATTCGAGTTACCGATGAAACAAGTATATGGCCAGTTGGAATATCTGCACAATTGGTAACAGGTTAGTTAGTTAAACATTTCACTAATATTTTCGTTTACTGCTATTGTGTCTCTTTTTTTTGGAACTGTCTGGATAGTTGAGGGTGTTTCTGACTTGAAGACATTTAGCAGAGTTATATCACTTGGAGTTAATTTTTTTCATACACTAATGAAAAAGCATGTTCTAGACACAGATCCCAGATACTAGAATCATGTTTTATTTAACATGCAATTAGAAATTATTGAAATTCATTTGAGAAGATAAATAACTATGAACTGAAAACAGTGGCTGGGGATTGCTGAGACAATGGAGCTGTGAAACCTGGTTAATTTATTATCTATAATTATATTTTACAGATTTGAGGTATGGTTGAAGATAAGGAAATCATCATGTGCTGACCGAATTACAACTCTAATCATTATTAACATCATCACTGAATAAAGCATAGGGTGTCAGTACAGTACAACCTCTACCTCAATTTTATCGACTATGAGAAAGCCTTTAACAGTGTTGACCAATAAGTAATTCAGAAACTACCTTCAACAGGAAAGTTTAAATCGAAGTAAATTATAACTGACACCCGTAGGAGAAAATGTGGCTCCAGAGAACCAATTGGTCTAGTGGATAAGGCTTTAGCGTTTCAAAATATAGGCAGTGGGTTCGAACCTCCGTGGGAACAACCTCACTCACTAGGGAATGCAAGATAACGAATCCCAAACAGGACGAAATGCACATTGTCCTGGATTGCAATGCTAGCCACCATCAACCAACTGACTTCAGGTTACATGACTAGACGTCGTCGAAGCATCTGCGCAAAGAGGCAACATGTCAACCTGAGGCAAAGCACTGCAGTTCAAATAATCGATGGGAAAATCTGAAATCGAATTAAACATTATTATCACTATTTAATCCACAACCTCATCATCTTTGGGTAAACTTTTTGTACAGAAATTCTGAACAGGATCTAATTGAAAACAGTCTTGTTCTAATATTATTAATGGGAATATTTAAAAGATACGAAATATACATTACCTATAAACCAATGATTTATGCATGCATTTTATTTTCTTAATATGAAAAAGTTAGCTTATATCTCCTGAAGCCTGTAAGGGATGTCTCTTGATACTCAGTTTCTGTTAAACTTTCAAGTATTAGTTTAGTAGGAATTTTGTTTGATTGCATGGAGGATTTCATCATGAGCTGACATCACTTAGAGAACCACTGGAAAACAAGCAGGGAGTACTGGACAGCTGTTTCGTCCCAGTTTGGGACTCTTCATCGGTACGCACCTACCGAGGTTCGTACCCAGAACCTTCTGGTTACAAGGCGAGCTCGTAGACCATTAAGCCACTGAGATCCGATCCTGATGTCAGATCATTATGAAATTCTCCATGCAACCAAAAAAATCCTTACGAGACCAATACTTGGAAATTAATCTGATGCTCACTAGTGACTGGCCCTATTCAGGAAGTTAACCTGGGGTTCTCGTGGGAAGCCGTGACCAGTAGGGTACAGCAGGGTGAAGATGAGGCAGTAACTCATCGAAGAAGACATTCCCAAATGGTCGCGCAATGTCATGAATTGACAGAATTTAGAATTCAAGGACCATTGGATCGGGTCCCACTGTCTCAACGGTCTACGAGGTCGCCTTGTAACCAGAAGGTCCTGGATTTGAACCACAGGGGTGGGTGTATGCCGCTGAAGGGTCCCAAACTAGGACGAAACAGATAGTTGTCTAGTATTCCCGGGTCTTCCAATGGTTCTCTCAGCTCATGATGAAATCCTCCATGCAATCAATTTCTATTACTTAATCAATAAGTAAAGAAAACACGTCTTTCTTGTTTTTTTTTTTTTAAACAGATTTCTCTGTGCTGATTAGTCAACCATCTGGGGTAGATGATACACGTCAACGAGTTGGTCCGCCATCTCCATTTTCAAATAATAACATTAACAATAATAATATTAATGACAATAGTAATGGTAATAATAATCATTTATTCGGTACAACAATCACTGAACGTATGCCTGTTTTATCTGGTGTCTATTCAATTCATATTCAAATGAAAGGCAGTAAATTAACTCATAGTGGATCAATTAATTCTGAATTTAATAATCAAGAAAGAAGTTCACCATTGTCACAGCAAACAATTTCAACACTCTCTAATGGTTATCTTAATCAGAGTGACAAGGGCAGACATCATAGTCATGATGAGAGTAGACAAAGCAATTCAGTTGGATTTCTTGTTGTCTGGATACACTTATCTGATGGTTCATCAGTTTTATGGAATCGAATGGCTGAGGTAAGTAGTCAATTAAATATTTTGCCAATATATATATATATATATATATATATATATATATATATATATATATATATATTGATCTTACAGCTTCTTCACACCGAATTGGTGAAACACAGTGTAAAGGATACTTTTCGATTTGTTGAAAGAATAAAGAAGATTCAAATGTTGACAATAAATTCATGACATCATTTGACGTATCTTCCTTATTCACTAGATTACCACTTATGAAAACAGTGGACATTGTATGCGAAGAATTCATAAGACGAAAAATTCGATGTTGGCATTCCTATATCTTTTATGAAACAGCTTGTCTTGAAATGCATAATGAATGTCCACTTTTTATTATGTAATAAGAAACTATCTAGAGAAATCGACTGCGCGGCAATGCGGTCACCACTAGGATCCATTCTAGCCTACATTTTCTTTGAAAAATAAACTAGAAAATGAGCCTTTGAAGGATGTTATTAACGAGGTTCATCCTGTAATAAATTTTACTATTGAGAAAGAAAAAGGCTCTAGTATTTCATTTTGAGTTGTCCTTATGACCAGAAAGGAGGATGGTACAATAACAAGACGTGTATATTAAAAAAACATACATTAACGGGTCAGTATAATCATTTTTTAACTTCGTGAAATACAAACATAATCTCATGAAGTGCTTGGTTCATAGAGCAAGAGCAATCTGCTCGGATGAATGTCTTGATGAGGAACCTAATAATAATAATACACGGTTGCTGATTGAAAACCGTCATCCAGAAAAGACTATTGATAAGAACATGAATCTAAAATCAAAGAAATCCAAGGTACCAATAGTTCCTAATAAGGCCTTATTCTTAAAAATGCAGTTCCTTGGGGACAACATCAGCGAGATAATAACACAGCGGCTTAGAAATGCGGTAAAAAGAGCATTCCCTGCAGCTGAATTACACTATGCCTTCAAAACCACTGACCCCTATTTTTTGTTCCGGAGTAAAAGATAAAATTGCCTAATTTCGCCTCTTCCATGTGTATCTACCAATTAAACTGTTCCTGTGGAGTGAGCCAGTTCCGTAGGCCGTCTGTCTGTCTGGATGGTTAGGCATGCGCATCACGTGACATAGCCACCTCAATCTGTGTAACTTTATAGCCTCGTAGATTGATTTTCCCTCTTTGCCCAACACTCTACGCCTAACGTCAACATTACTTACCTTATTATACCACCTAACGTGAGAAAGAGATCGTAGACATCTATGATCAAAAACAGTCAACCTTTTCATGTCTTCAACTCGTATTGGCCATGTTTCAGAGCCATAGAGAAGGACGGAGCGAACTGATGAGCAGTACACACGTCCCTTGGTTGATAACCGGATGTCACGCCTACGCCAGAGATGGTGTAAGTCAGCGAAAGCAGCTCGAGCTTTTCGGATCCGTGCTGAGATTTCATCGCCAATCAGTCCGTTGGTGCTAATACAACTTCCCAAATAGGTGAAGTGGTCAACATGTTCTATCACTTCACTCCCTATCACTAAGTTAGGAGTTGACGTAGTCCAGTCCTGTAGCAGCATCTTACATTTTGCAGGGGCGAATCGCATGCCAAACATACGAAGATTGCTGCTCAAGGTGTTCAGAAGACTCTGCATTTTGTCAGCATCCTCCCCTAACAGGACTATGTCATCTGCATATTCTAAGTCCATAAGACTATTCCCTGGTAACAAGTCGATTCCTAAGTCATTACGTTCAGTTAAGGATACTTCCATCAGCATATCTATGATGAAGTTAAACAGAAATGGGGAAAGTGGACATCCCTGTCGGACACCACTGGTTGTTACCAATTCAGATGACAATTCCCCATAAGCCCTTACACGACTACGTGAGTTTGAATAGAGTGCCTTGATTAGTGCAATGTACTTTCTTGGCACTCCCTTCACAGTCAGACATTGCCATAGTACCTTTCGATCCACGGAGTCGAAGGCCGCCTTCAAGTCAAGAAATATGACAATTGTTGGACGCCGAAAAGTGTGTCTATGTTCTAGAATCTGTCGAAGAGTGAAGATATGATCTATGCACCCTCTACCTGGTCTAAAGCCTGCTTGATTTTCCCTTGTCTGTTCCTCCCGAGTTCTGCTTAGTCTATGCATGATTACTGAGCCTAGGATTTTAGAGACTATGTTCGTTAGGCTGATCCCCCTATGATTATCACACGAGGACTTGTTTCCCTTCTTGAATATCGGTATAATAAGTGACTTACCCCAGTCTGATGGCACTGTCTCTGATTCCCAGACTTTGCCTAGTACCTCAGTTAATCTACAAACTAGTATGTCACCCCCATATTTAAACACCTCCGGAATAATTCCGTCGGGTCCTGCCGCTTTGCCTCGTTTCAAATTACTGATAGCTTTTGTGACCTCACTACAGACGGCGGACCAGTGTCTATATCCCATTCGGGTGTGGTGGATGTCGGGGAGGTTCAGTGTGGCTGTAGGCAAGTTAAATTGTCCCTCAAAGTGTTCTTTCCAGCGTTCAAGGCGTCTATCCTGAGAGCTAATTAAGGAGCCATTTTTCTCAGAAATAGTCTCACTTATGATTTGCCTTCTCCCACCCGTTTCTGATGAGTCTAAAGAGTTGCCTAGTGTTGCCTATCGCCAATGCTTTTTCCATCTCTTTCGCCTTTGTCACCCACCACTGTTCACGGTCCTTGCGGAGACTTTTAGTAAGTTTCCTTTTGTGCAGCTTTCGCTCCTCATTGAATTCGGAGCTCGCCGGAATAAGTCTTCTAGCATCTATCAGTTCGGATGAGGCAGTCGAAATCCAGTGGTTTTTACTCACCTTTGGATTTGCTTATTCACAGCTTTTACAGCTGTATCTATAGCTGACTGAATATTCTTCCAGGCTTCTCCAGGGTGAGCACAGCTGTCGAACACAGATATGCGTTTAGCTAGTTCTTCCTCAAATAGGGATTTAGTTTCCTGATCGAGCTGGGGACGTGATGGTTTTACCGCCAGCTGTTTCCTACGTCCGTTCAGTCGTAAGCACACACGAGCCCGGACCAGTGCGTGATCGGTATCTACACACGTGTTCCAGAAGGAGCGACAATCTCCTACCGACCCACGCCAACGATAGCTTATTGCTATGTGGTCTATTTGTGTCCAGCGTTGGTTTGATGATGGGGGTCGCCAGGTTAAACAGTGTCTCTCCTTGTGTTTAAAGTTAGTGCTTACAAGAAACAAATGATTATCTGAACAGAACTGTAGGAGACGGTCACCGTTGTCGGTTCGCTGGCACGGAACTCCATAGGTGCCACCGACATCCTTCTCAGATTGACACAATTTCCCTACTTGAGCGTTAAAGTCACCAGCTAGAACGACTATATCTGAGCGTTTAGCCTTTCTCACCAAACTAGACAGCTTTTGGTAGAACTCATCCTTCGTTTCATCCGAACTGCAGTCAGTGGGGGCGTAGGCGGAGATTACGAAAAGGCATCGGCGAGTAGTGCAGTCCTTTCTCCTTCTTACTGATCCGTTCAGACGGACAGCACACATTCGGCTATCTACCGGGATCCAGTCAAGCAATGTCTTTTCTGCCCTAGTACTCAAGCTATCCCTACGCCAGCTAATCCTCGTGAACTAGCTGTGGCATCTCCTGACACCCTCAAGGTGAATTTTGAAGATTCATCCTGTTGGCCAGGTGGGGTTAGGTGAATAACCACACTTGGGTCTTGTATGCGTGTTTCTGAAACACAACATACATCAATGGCTCGGATGCCAGGGTCTTAGCTAGTGATGCTTGTTGTCCTATTTGGCAAAGTGTCCTAACATTAAATGCTCCTATATGAAATTGGTGGCGTGGCTTTAGGAGACTATCGTGGTGGTTTTTTGGCTTTCGTCGTTTTTAGTGGACACAGAGTGAAGAGGGAGTGAGGAGCCATCAAGTAGAGGAGTTGCATCAGTGGGAGGAAGGCAAGGTAATAGAGATGAAGATGAAGACAAAGATAAGTGAGGATTAGAGAGGTTTTGTGTGCATTTTGGATTGTGAGGGCGTTTGTTACTTCCCGGCTGCCCACACCGTGGAAGTTGGTTGCGTGACCGCAGAGCCCAGGGGACAACTGCTTGAGGCCGGTCACACGCGGCCTGTTTTTGTTTCTTCTTTTTTGTTTGGTGTGCCTCAGTAGCATACTTATCACTCCTGCCCTGTGACACGGCAGCAGGAAGCGCGGTCGTTGTTAATCCGGGCCACGGCCGATCCGGCATGAAATTTTGTGAATTTGTTTGAATCATGGTATTGGATGGGTAGCTGCTTTTTGTTTAACCGCTATCCAAACAACCTGCCTGGCATGGTAGAACCTCAAGAGACATAAGTCTCAGCCAGTATAGCTTGATTAAGTCATTGCGGTGTTCAAGACCAACCACCACGTCAGGGTAGCAGCTTTCGGTCGGGTCCGTAGGCCATACAATTAGGCGTGTTCCTCGTCCGACTTCCAAACATCACCTTGTGTGTTTAAGTAAAGGACAAACAAAATCTATTCACAGCGCTATTCTGTCTCATCTCGTGGATACAGAACACAAGATTGGTGTTAATCAGGCTTTCGGAGTGATTCACCACATACCAATAAATCTCAATTTTGCCTTAAGAGTTCGACTACTAAATATTACTGAGGCTATTGGGATCCATATTAATTAAGAAGCCTAATTTGTGCATCCAAAATAAGTTATTTCAAACATTGTCCTTACCTTGGCCATCTAGGTTCGAATGATCCTGAATTTTGGTGGAATTTCCCTAATTTTAGTTGACATTCTATTTGCTTCTATGTCTTTATTATTCTGATTATAACTTAAGTATCTTAAATGAACTGTAATCCTTGAGTCGCTGAAGTCACTTAGGGTTAATTCCATTATTACATCTATGATGAAGTTGAATAGAAAAGGGGATGGCGGGCATCCTTGACGGACACCACTAGTCGTCACCAGTTCACGTGACAACTTGCCGTAACCTCTCACCTGGCTTCATGAGTACGAGTAGAG